AATAGACCCACTAATACACTGTTGGTGGTACTGTGAACACCACTTCATGCTGTTCTAATCTATTCTGGAAAATAATTTTGAAATATAGTTTTTTAAAAATCTCTATACTTTAACATAGTAATGTTTGACCCAATGATAGATCCTACAAGGAGGTAAAAAGAAAATGGGAAAGATCCTATACCTACCAAAAATATTGATAGCAATTCTTTTTGTAGTAGCAAAGAACTCAAAACAAAATGGATACTTGTCCACTGCTGAATGACTGGATAGAAGATGGTATATAAATATACTGGAATATTATTGTGCCATTTTTGTTGTTCAGTCGTTTTTAGTTATGTCTGACTCTTTGTGATCCTATTTGGGGTTTTCTTGGCAAAGATACTAGAGTGGTTTGTCAGTCCCTTCTCTAGCTCATTTTACATATGAGGAAACTGACGCAAATAGGGTTAAGTGACTTGCCCAGGGTCACACGACTAGCAAGTGTCTGAGGCCAGATTTGAACTCAGGAAGATGAGTCTTCCTGATTCCAGGCCTGGCACTCTATCTACTGCACCACCTAGCTGCCCCCATTATGCCATAAGAAATTAAAATACAAGGAATTCAGGTAGATTCAGGAAGACTCATAGAGACAGATTTATAACAAAGTAACTAAACAAGCATAACAGTTTCCATGATGACCACAATAATGTAAAGGAAGATTTAATTGAAAGATTTCAACACTCAAAAAAATGTTGTGATCAGTCATGACTTCAGAAGACCTATAGGGAAGTTTACCTTTTGCCTCTCAGCAGAGAGGAAGTGGATTGTAGGAGTGGAATAGGGCAGACACTGTCAGATGTGGCCAGTTGGTTGGGGGGGGGGTGGTGCTTAACTATAGTTATTTGTTGCGAGGGAAGGTTCTCTTGGTGGAAAGGAGTCAGTGGGAAAAGCATCACTAAAACATTTTTAACAGTTATTAAGTGCTATGTAAATGTATGTGGTGGTAACTCTGGATTCTCCAAAGCTGTGCCAACAGAGCCCAAACTGCAGCAGGTTCTACCAAGTTTGAAGGGCTTTAGATATGGACCTAGCTACTGACACAACTGGCACCCAGCCTAGAGTCCAGAAAAACTGAGTTCAAATCCAGCCTTAGACACTTATTAGCTGTGTGACCCTGGGTGAGTCCCTTAACCTCTTTCTACCTCTGTATCATCTATAAAATAGGGATAACAGCACCTACCTCCCAGGGTTGTTGTGAGAATCAAATGAGATAATATTTGTAAAGTGCTAAATAAATACTGTTGTTGTCATGATGATGATGAGGATGTCATCTGAGGATCAGTCTAGTTAAATGTGAAAAGGCTTATCAACAGAAGATCATCCACAAAGGGAGGAAGTTTCTGGCCACAGCAGCTCTCTGAGAAGAGTCTGCTAAGGCCTAGAGAAACTGTACTCTGGGTCATGAGCACCCACCCCTGTGAAATCCTGGATCTTTTGAAGGATGAGTTGTCCAGAGGAAATGTTGTCATCCACAACCCTTCCCTACTTTAGGTCAGGAACATTGGCCAAATAATATTGAACTAAATCTTGAAATGCAGACCAGTATGCATGTTTCTAAGGCCAGGCACCACAGCTGCCTACCTTCTGCCTGAAGACAGCATTTGGATTAAATGTTCCCCCACCAGAGATTTAAAACCTGGGCATTCTCTGTCTGGGTAGAATGGCTTAGGAAGAGGTTTACCTACCAAACAAAGGATTCTTTAAATGGAACAAATTGAAATTGATTGTCACAAGACCAAATCCTAGGAACTATTCATGGGACTTTAGACATGTGTTTCATATTGCTCTCATCTTACTGGGTCAGAGTTAAATTCAAGATGAGGCAGGGCCATCTTAACAAACATAACAGAGCTTTCTGCTTGAATCTCTTCCTGAGATGCCTCATTGTAGTATAAAGGTGGTCTTCAGTTCACATAAGCTGTACCTAGAGGAGTGTAAGTTTCTTTCAGGCTCTTCTGAGCTCGAAAGGCTTAGTAGGAGCTTTAAGAATGAGCTCAGAAATAGACTGCTTATCTCTTATCCAATAACCAATAGAGCTAAATTCAGAGGGAAAACCCCAGTTGCTTCAGCCACATCTTCTAGCTATCAAGTTTTGATCTGCATTGGAGGAAGGAGAACTCACACCAACAAAATCACAGATTCTGGAAGCACTTTGGGATCACTTTGGGATCAAATAGTTCTTGCTCTCCTGAGCCACCTCCTGATAGGAATTCCAGAAATGTTTTGAGTGATGGCAGCATCATTGGAATTAGTGTTTGCCCACTTTGAGAACCCAGGATTCCTTCACACATGTAAGTTCTGGTATATGTGTGACATTACTTTATATGCTTATACTGCACACACATCCCATCCTGGGATCTTGCTTACAAGATGGTCTCTTCCATGGTCTACACTAATCATGGCATAGGCCCAAGATAGACACTAAGCTATTTCTCTAGTGACTCATCTGATAAAGAACTAGATTATGAAAAGAAAACAGATCTACTAATCTGACATTTGAGGACAACCTAGAGAACAGGAAAAACTTCTCTAAATGCTAAAGGGCAGTAGAAAAGGGACATATAATTCTGGATTCCCAAAGTGACTCATCTTTAGGCATCATGCTTCTTTTACCAATTGGATAGAGGCAGAGATGTTATGATCATAACTTGGTGAGGAGAGAGAGAATGAAAATATTTTGATGGAGAAATAATTCAGAAACCACAGTCAAGTTCTAGGTATGTGCTGGAAGTACAGTGAAATTCAGTGTGAAAAATATAATCCACTAAACAACAAATATATAATGTCAGTGGTCTGTGTTCACCTTGAAAGCCCTAATACAAGTATTTCAAACTCAGCAAATATCTCCTGAGCATCTACTATATGCAGGACACTGTACTAGGAAGTAGAGGAGGGGACAGATTCTGGAGGAAAATACAAAGTTACATAAACCCCTCTCTCCCTGCCCTCAGGGAGCTTACAATCTATTAAGGGACCTCATTACAGCCAAGTACTATAGGGGACATACATAGTGCCATAAAAGAGGCATGCACATAGTGCAAGGGAAGTCAGAAGAATAAATATTCTTTGCAGCAGGAGGATCAGGGAAAGCTAGGGAATATATAGCAGTTTGAGAGGGATAAATCTTTTCAGTAGAATCAGCAGGGTGTGGTCTTGTAAGACTAATAATCTTGCTGAGGTATTGAGGCAACCCCTCATCAGAGAGCATCGTGGCCCCCAGACTCCAGGTGGGGGAAACAGCACCCCCACCACTTCTGAGCCCTCTTCTCCTTAGGAGAGGACATGTTTGATAAAGGATTGATTTAGGGAAAAATATGGCAGAGAACATCAGCTCAGTGGTGATGGTGATGGGGGAATATTGTCCTGAAGGAGCATTGAGAAGGGGAGGAGGGGGAATGCTGTTGGCCTGTGCCAGACCTGGCACAGAAAACTAGGAAGTAACATGATGAACTCGAGCACATTTCCCTAACAGTTACGCCTCTTGTAAGAGGCTTGGAAACCTGGTCATCTGAGATAAATGGGAGAAAGCACGGGAAAGCTGGGAGAATGAGGAAATACTAGCAGTGCCCCAGGGAAGGGGATTAGATGACCTAATAGGCATCTTTCATCTCCTGCCTTGCTCTGATATTGGTGGATGGGGAGCTTTGGCAGATAAACTTGGCTCACTGGCTCCAACTTTAACAACTGGAGGGAACATTTTGCCCTAAGGTCTATCCCTGATGCACATAGAAAATACCAGTTTTGGTGCTTTCTACAAGTATCAGGCTCAGAACTTTCTTCACTTGGGTCTGGGAGACTGATTTGCTTATTTTAAAATGAAGGAACTCCTTCTGCTATGTCTGCTGGTTACAGGGCCTAGAGACCCTGAGCTCCTATCCAGTCTTTGGAGGTTGGTCCCCAACCTAGGGGACACTGAGTTATATCCAGCCCAACACTACCTCTGTATAGGGTGTTACTTCACCTCTTCCTCAACAAATGCTATGTAAACAACTTTGCCTGGGAAAGGCTCCCCCTGTTTACCTCTTGTACCAGTCAATCAACAAACATTTGTAAGCCCCTGGGGATTAAAAATAGACCCCTGCTCTCAAAGGGGCTACAATTTAACATGAGGGAAAGCCATGCATACAAATTACTGTATACAGTGGAGATGAGACCAGTGTGGGCATCGTGGAAGGGATTTCTTTCCTGAAGGCCCTTTTGACTGTGAAATTTGGATTCTGTGCAGTCCAAAGGAGAGATTCAGGCAGAATGCAGTGAGAAGTTTGAGAAAGGAAGGCTAGCCCCAAGATGTCTTCCCTGTTTGGCTTTTGTAGTTTTTCAGGATAGTGTTAAAGGAAAGCCCAGGTTCTTGCAAAAAGCACACCTATCATGAGTAAGAAGGGAAGAATGGAACTGGAAACTGGGAATAGCTTGTCGTTGGCAGAGAGAGGCAAATAACTATTCTCATTTCCTTTTGAAGTTCCCACTGGAATGAACTCTGTCAGCAGTGTGTACCTAGTTCCCAAATGTTCCCACTACGATTACCTCTTACAAGTTAGTCATTTGGAAGGCCTGAGCCCATAGTCATGAGGTTTCTAGGAGGACAGAGAGTGCACATCACTGCTGGTCTTGCTCCTCTGGGATCCACAGTATTATTCCTTGCTTAGGATGGATGGCACCTTATTTTCATTCCCCTTACTATCCATAGCTCCCTGGGTCTTGGGCAGTTAGCTGTTCTGAAGAAGTGTTCTGAAAAGCTCTAGCTTTCTTCCAGACTACCTGTAGCCACTCTTTTTGGGTGTGGTTCATTGGTTGAATGCCAGTGATTAAATGATTTTCTTGTCTATTAGTGTTGTTCAGGTCTTTGGGGAGAGTTCTAACTCATAACACTGAATCATAGAATCGTGAACTGATTTTTTAAAAATGTTTAAACGTCCATTGGAAGTCTAAGCATTAACTCTTCTCTTTTTTTTTCTTTCTAGATTTCTCTTTCCTAAATTTCTTGATCAGTGTTCACAAGGTAAGCAATAGGCTTGACTTTCTGCCTACAGAATAAAGTTTGTCTTCCAAAGATGATATAAATGTGATAACTGTGCTCTAGAATTCCTGAAGATGGGTTTTCTGTCCAGAAATCTAAGGAATGATCAAAGTTCATCAAAGGAGAGCAATGACACTGAATATTTTCATCTCCTTTTATGGACATATCTTGACTCAAATCTTGCCTTTGGAGGATACTGAATTACCCTTCCTGCTTGCCTAAAGTGAGTCGGCCATAATACAACCCTGGCTCTCCAGTTAGAATGACGACAGGAAATGTGGATCCCTAACCCCAGGTCCACATGTCTTGGGTCTGGCAGTGCCTAGCTCTGGTTATGATCCCCAAGCCCATCCTGCAAAGCTAGGCACCCCAGGAAGTGGTAGTTTTTTTATTTTTATTTTTTTAATACAAACAGGACTCCCTGTGGTGGAGGGAGATCAGGAGTCATTTTTTTAAATCTCCATGCTGGGGATGAACTGCCCATTGTTGTTGAGAGATGTGCGTGTTGCCTGGGCTTCCTGAGTCGGCTCAGCAAACAGAGATCAAATGGAAGCAGCCTCCCCCTGTGTCCCCAGTGCTGTGCCTCACCCCGCTGAGCCTGCTGCAGGCTGGCCTACAGGGAGCCCCGTGAAGCCCGTTGTCTTGGGGAACGACAGGGGCCGGCTGCTGCCCAAGGAAGGAGGCCGAGGGCTCTGTTGTGACTGCTGCCTGTGGCACAAGAAGACTCATTTTCCATGGCGCCCTCACCTCTCATTCGTGTGGTGCTTCGTCAGCCGCAGAAGAGCCCTTCTCCATTAGGGGAGGGAGAAATAGGACAATGGAAGGGGGGGAGGGAGGGGACGTCCAAGGATTTCACCCAAGACTTTATTCCAGTGTTTAATCTTCAGTTTGGTGAGGGCTTAAATTTGTTGGAATAAGTTCTACTTTGAATTGTGTCGCATGAGCCCAGCTCCACGCCACCATTTTTTATTATTGCCTTTAATAACTCTGGCTGCATTTCATCTCCAGAATCACTTGCAAACAATGTAAACAGCCCTGGGTGACCTTGGCACCCCTTGTCCTCTTGGCCCTTTCTGCCTTGTGTCCTCTTCCCGCTCCGCCCCCCCCCCACCTCTTTTCCTGTTTTTATGTAAGTGACAAGAGCAAGTGATTCAAGCTGCCTGCCTCCAACGTAGCCTGGGGAAAGTGTCCGGTCCTTGTTGTCCATTCCAGTGCACAGCAGGCACTATGCCTGGCTCTGCTATGACTAGTCCTTTTCAGACTAATTCACCTTGACCTTTGATGCTGAAATAGGCGATCTGAGCCCATCCCAAGGCACCTGGTGACTGGGAGGTCTGCTCTAGGAACCTTGCCTTCCTCAGCTAGCATGGCAGCTGTCAAACCACAGTTATGTGGCCTGTCATAGGCAAAGCACGGGAGGCTGTGTGTGCTGTTCTCCGAAGAGCACGGGGTAGAGGCAGCGTTCCCCAAGAAAGTACAAAAGCCTTAGGAGATGGATGCCTTTCACTTCTTGCAAATTAAGAAAAAAACAAAACAACCCAGTGACATTATTTGTGTGATACTCTATGAGCCACCGTGAGGGTAGCAAAAACCCCCCATTGATAGCTGCTGTTGATCTATGTGGTGCTGGAATGAAAGGGGTAAAAAGTGATCCTTCCTTCCAAGGGAAGTGAGCATCAATTTTTTTAGGAAACTCAGGAGCCAGCCTGAGAGGAGTTGCATCTTCCTAGTGCAGAAGCATTTCTCTGCTATTCCACTCCCCCAAAACAAAATGCATTTCATCCCCTTATTCCTTTTCGAGTGTTTGAGCTAATTGATATCTTAAATTTTTTAACTGATTCTTTTAAAATTAAAAATGGCATGCACTGTAAGTAGCCTTTCCCCCAAGAGCATGTGAATTACAGACTCCAAGCAAAGATCAAAAAGGAAGCCAAACATAGTTAAAAGGGACACCAAGGTAGCACCAGTCTTTTCTCAGCATTCCCTCTTTTTTTTTTTTTTTTAATTGGTTGGGCAGTGGGAGTTGAGTGACTTGCCTGGGGTCACACAGCTAGTAAGAGTTATGTGTCTGAGGCCAGAGTTGAACTCAGGTCCTCCTGAATCCAGGACCGGTGCTCTATCCACTGTGCCTCTATCCACCTAGCTGCCCCCCATTTCTTCTTTTTTAGGGAATAAAAAGGTAGACATAAAGAGTCAACACTTTTCCCTTTATGCGCAATAGACTAGTATGATGGACTTTATCAAGATGGCCCCATGACCCACCATCAGTGGGATATATGTACTTGATTTGGGTTTCAGTTATGGGCCTGGCCTGTATGCCACCCTGTGCTCTTATCAGGTGAGGCAGCTGGTCAGGGTTTAGTGTCATTTGTACCATGGACCAGAGAGAGAGGGTAGTTGGCCAGGATAAGGATGAAACCCACCACCCTGACCTTGATAGCTCTGTACTCTAAACACCTGAGTTATGAAGCCTGACCTGCTTAGCAAACATAGTTATTTCCCTTTGGCAAGTTGTTGTTTGCATAGCTGACCTGAGGAATGCTGCAGGGTAATCCGCCTGAGCCTGCATGTTCAGTGATGAAGGTTTAGGGAGCCAAGGCCTGGGGCTTTGACCTGGGAGACTCTGTACCAACCAGGAACCAGGTTTGGATCTCAGGCCCAGCTAGGATCAAGATTCTTCTTCTATTGGAGGAACTTAAAGCAAAGTGTTTAAATCAGTCATGAAAGGACCTACTTTGATAGTGGAAAAGCTAATTCCTAATAATCTGTGGAGCTGGTCTGCCTCACCTCTTCCTGCTTTCCCAGCCCCACCCCAGATCCTCCCATTTACACACTGCCTGCCTCTCCCTTGTTGGGGCTGGAATAATCACTACTCTCCCTTCAAGTAGAGTGATGCATGAGGCCTGCACCTTGAGTCAGCTCTTACTCTCTCCAGTTTCCCTTGTCCAAGACAACAGCAGAGAAGACTCAGCTCCCAAACACTCCCTTTTCTCTTCAACAATTCAGTCAGGGATTTGGATAGAGGCATAGATAACAATAAAGCTTATTGGATTTCCAGATGATGTGGAGCTGAAAGGAATCGCTAATAAACTGAATAATAGAATTAGAATCTAAAAAGGTTTCTGTAGACTGGAACAATGGGTTGAATGGAATCGGATAAAATGTCATAGGGATGACTATAAATTCCTACAAATGGGTTCCAAAAAATCAACTCCTTAAATAGAAGAGAAGGAGAGCATGGCTAGGCAGCACTTAATGAGAAAAAGGTCTGTTGGTTTCAGTGGTCTGCAGGCTCAGCCCGAGTCCACAGGGTGACTTTGGCACCACCTTAGACTGCATTAATAGAGGCCTCGTCTCCAAAGCCAGAGAGGTGATCATTCTGCTGTAATCTCCACAGGTCAGGCCATATTGGAGCAGCGTGTTCTGTTCCATGGACCACTTTTTAGGAAGGACACTGTCCGACTGAGCAAAGTGCGCTAGATGGGAACAGGACTGGAAACCATGGCGTGTGAGGCCTTGTGGGGAGGTCTAGCTTGGAAAAGAGAAGAGTTGGACAAGACATAATAGCTGCCGTCGTCAAGGATGTGGAAGCGCTAGACTTGATCTGCTTGGCCCTGGGGGGGGGGCAGAACAATGGCTGCTGTGTGGAAGCGGCCAAGAGGCAGGGGAAACCTACCCTGACACTGCAGCCGTCCAAGTGTAGACTAGGGTGCCTTGGACATAGTGTCCTAGGATGTGTCCAAACAGAGCCTGAATGACCATCTGCAAGCTGTATTACCTCGGAGAATACCTTCAGCTTGGAGATTCTTCTCCCCTTGTGGGATTTCCTGTCTCAGTGTTAGGGTCGTCTTCACATCTACTCAGGAATGTGTTGAGCCCATTACTGCTGGCTTCTTCATTGCAACTCATCATTCTGGCCTTGGTAACCTCACCTACTGTGGGCTCCCTTCTTTTTCAGGAGCCCCCTCTCTGCTCCCTGCAGTGTAGCCACTCCAAGCCATAGGGGCTCTGGCCCACGGCCTGCTTAAACTGTTGTCTCTGAGTTTGTACATCAGTTCTGCCTTTGTCTCTACCCAGTGAAGCTTTACTGGATTGCAGAAGGCCTTTGCTGTCCCACAGCTCCCTGTTGTGAATGGCTTTAAATCAAGCGGACTATACCTATGACCATCCAGAAATCTATGTACAAAGCCATGCTGAGTTCTGGAGCAATAGGGGCAGAGGAAGAGAGGAGAGGATATTAGGGGCTTAAGGGGGTGATGCCGAGAAAATTTGGGTAAGCCAGGTGCTATGTGAATCAATCCCAGGTGATGTGAGGCAGCTAGGTGGCGTAGTGGATAGAGCACTGAGTCTGGAGTTAGGAGGACCTGATTCAAATTCAGCCTCAGACACTTACTAGCTGTGTGACCCTGAGTAAGTCACTTTAACCTCGGTCTGCCTCAGTTTCCTCCTATGTAAAAATGGGGATAATACTATCACCTACCTCCCAGGGTTGTTGTGAGAATCAAATGAGATAGCACGAGGAAAACACTTCTCAAACCTTCAAGCATTCTGCAGATGTGTGTGGGCTATGTGAGCATGAGATCTGTTGGTGAAAGAAATAATGCCAGCTACCTTTATTTTCAAGTGCTTTGCTAGTTAATATGTGATGGAAATCACTGTGTAGAAGTTGCTTCCAGGGGCCTGCTGACCTAGCCTTAGCTCCAGCTGAGAGCCCAAGACTCCCTTTCCTGTCCTTATGTGCTTTAGAAAAAGAATGTTAGTAGAGTCTGAGGCTCACTGAAAGAGAGGGAGGTGGAGGCTGTCTTCAGTCTGGTACCACTTTATCTTTTTAGCCCTTATCTTTTATTCCTACCCTCCCCCCCCCCCTTTACTCCAACCAAATGGTGGACAGTTCACTATCCCAAGTTCGTATCACATGTGCTTTTCTAATATTATGTCTTTGCTCACACCTACCCTTCATCTCCCTCCCCACTGAAATCCTACCCATTTTTCAAGACCCAGATTATGTCCCATTTCATCTTTGAAGTCTTCTTGGATTATCCATTGAGTAAGAAATGATCTTTTCTTCCTTTATAACTCTCATAGCACTTAACTTCTATCTCTCTTGTGCTCTTGTGGCATTTTATTTTGCATTATGATTTCACATAAATGTGTTATCTTCTATACTATATTGTAAACTCCTTGAGGACAGAAACAATGTATTTTACGTAGCTGGAATAAATAGGAGCCATTGAAGGAGACAAAAATAGGAATGGCCTGAAAATTATGTAGATCAAAATAGCTTAGTGTCTAGGTAGCTAAGGGAAAATAGGGTTTCAAGAGGGAGAGAGAAAAAAAAAGAGGGAGAGAGGCATTTTATGGGGGTCAGATTCTTTGGAGAGGTCAGTGACACCAAGGACAAAGAAAAGCCCCGTTGAGTTTGGTGATGAGACCATCATGAATGATCTTTGAGAGAACAGTCTCAGTAGAATGAGGAAGGTGAAAGTCAAATTGCAAGAAACAGAAAGCCACCGCAAACCATGTATTCCAGAAGTTTGTCTAGGAAGGAAAGAAAAATAAGAAGATGGTAGCCTGAGATGTCAACAGCAAATGAAGTACATTTTTTTCTGCATAGGGAAAACCTGTTCATGCTTGGAAAGAGAGATGCTAAAGATGTAGGAGAGAGGAAACAAGTGAGAAAAGCAAGGTCCTAAATTTTCTGCAAACTTCAACTGATTAATTTCTCCAACTGTAACTGTGGTTCTAGGATTTCTCTCTTGCAGAAGAAAATGTGCTATTGGAGATTTCTTTTTGTAGCCTGAAATGTTCCTGATTTTGTTCCACAGGCTTGGTAAGCAATGTCGTATTCACTAGTCACACTATGGAGCAAAGACATCCCCTCCTTGTGCAGCTGCAGAGTCTCATCCGAGCAGCAAATCCAGCTACAGCTTTCATTCTTGCCGAAAACGGGATAGTGACCAGGTGATTTCTCATTAGTCCCCAACCCCTGGGGCCTCTGGCTGTCTCTGCCAGCCTGGGCCTCATGGCTGCCCAAAGGAGTGACCTGCTGCTTAAAGTACCTGGTTACCCCTCTGGTGTTGTCTTTTTAATCGTAGGCCCTTCCAGCTGTCTTTCAGATTTTCACATTTAAGGAATATCAACTAGCTATAATTCCCTGAGGATTTGCAGTAGCTAAGGGGAAGAAAGGAGGGAAAGAGCATTTTGGGAGGAGGAGGGTCAAGGTAGAAAGTCCAATGTAACATGTGCCCAAATAGTTTTCTGTTCTGAGGCATCCTCACTTTTGAGGGTGACATCTGTAAGGCAAGAGTTCCTCCATATCAGCTTTAGGAAGATGGGGCAATAGCATTGGTCCAGTTTGAGGGGCCATTAGCCCAAGTAAAGTCAGAATTTTATAGACTTGATTCCAAGTTGCAATCCGTGGATTGTTGACTTGAAGGATTTTCTTTAATATAAAAACATTTTAATGAAGTAGAATGTGCTGATCTAGGTTCGAACAATACCCTGATGCTGTTTATGTGATTTTGATGAACTGATTTTTCTCACATATAGCTACATGAGATTAAACATGTCCTTTCTCTCCCCCAAGCCTCAATTTCCCCTTATGTTAAAAAAATAAAAAGAGGGAGTTATACTTACAAGGTTTCTAAGGTTCCTTTCAGCTCTAAAATTATAGCCTATAATCCTAAATTGTTTTAAAAAATCGTATGATGGGACTCATGCTTCTGGTTAATTTGGGCCTTTTCTGGTCTTTTTCTACAGGAATGAAGACATTGAGCTGATTCTTTCAGAAGACAGTTTTTCAACTCCTCAGATGTTGCGAGCTCGATATTTAATGTTTCCTGGCTGGCAAGTATTATAATTGAGGAAATAAGATAAATACAGACAGTCTTTACTGACAAAAGAAATGGGGGAGGTGAGAGGAAGAGAGGAAAGCACAAGAAGTACCCAAGTTGGCCAAGCTTTGTGGACAGTCCTTTTCATTGACCGTTTGAGACCGTGGCAGCAGAGTTTTGTGTCACAATTGGAGTCCTGATGGGCTCTCTGCCTAGTTGGGGGAAGCTGCCCATTATCATAGCATTGCATTTATTTCCTCTGACTCCTGGCCAGCTTGGGTAGATGGCAACAGAGCCAGGGCATTACTATCTCAAAACTGTAACCAGCCCAGGTGAAAAATCATGGGAAACCACTCAGTTTTCTGGTGTCCCTTCTTTTCTGTTTCTCAGGCAGTTTTTCTGACTCCCACAACAGTTGCCAATTCATATGCAGACTTAATTGTTTTTCTCTTTTGCCTGGTGGCCCTTTTATCAGGGAGAAAAGGGGCAGCTAGGTGGCACAGTGGATAGAGAACCGGCCCTGAAGTCAGGAGGACCTGAGTTCAAATTCGGCCTCAGCCCAAGCACTTGACACATACTAGCTGTGTGACCTTGGGCAAGTCACTTAACCCTGATTGCCTCACTAAAAAAAATAAATAAATAAAAAATAGCAGGGAGAAAAAAAAAAGAAAGCAAAGCAAACTTTCTTTTGAGGAGATAATGCGTCAAAAGAAGCCCCAAACTATTAGTGTCACTGAGAGATCCCTGGGCTCTCAATGGTACTGTCAGCATTTGTAGTCAGCCTATTTCTGACCCAAGCCTTTCTAAGACATCTGTCCAAACACAAGACCTCTCCTCTTTCCTCTCTCTTAAATGATTGATGTTATATTGAACTGTTTCTTTGAATGACCAGGACTCTTCGGATCTGGGAACCTGGCACTGAAACAGAACTTGGGGTGTGATTCTCTAGGTTTAATCTCTGTGTTGATTGTGGGGATAGCTTAAGTCTAGTGGTCAAGACAGGCAAAGCTAGAACAAAATCATTCAGAGGCGTTGTTGCCATGTGCACCAAGTTGCATAAACAACATGACTTATACCAGCTGAAATGTTTTGAAATAAGTTTTTTTCAATGAAATTTGGAGTGTTTTTAACAACATCCCTTCAGCCCATAGCACCGCCTTGAACCTAGGAAGGGGCTCAATAGATATTTGTTGCCTGAATGAACAAACTTACCTCAGTCCTCAAATATGCCTGAAGTAGAGTAAACTGCCTTTGCAGTCCCCAAAATTCTACTTTTTTAAACGTCCCAAGGTTTATATACATAGAGAAGTTCTCAATGCACTCTAGTGACCAGAGCTAACCTCCACTCAGTTCTAATTTGATATTGCCCTCCAAGGCTGCCCAGGAGCCTGATTTCACTTCTTACTGGGTGGAAGAAGTGGAGGTCAAAGGGGAAACATGACATGAAAGTCCAATTAGTTAAGAAAAGGGATTTGTTGGAAGAAAAGAAAAGTTCCTTGTTGCCTAACCCTGACTTGTTCTTGGCCACAAATGTTGTAGACAGATCTATGTCTCTATGCTGAGTATTTGAGACATTGGCCTCCTGGAGTCAACAACCTGGGGCTATGTCAGAAGCAGTCTGATCTCTCACTGTGATAAGAGATGTTCATGGTAGCAGAGCAAGAGAAAGAAAGCCATCTGTTTTATAGATGGAATAGGGCTCTCTGTACATTTTGTCTTGCTTTTATTACACAAAGGAAAACCTCATCCATCCTGGAATTAAGGGGCCTTTTAACACCAAGACCCATATCCATCACCCCAAGGCAGGAACTTGACTTTGGAGATCCTGCGCAGGCAAACTTTTGCTTGGTCTCTTGGTCTTGTGGGTCAGACTGGGTCATTCACAGACTGTTGGGTTGGCATTTCCTCTCTGTCTCTTTAGACTTCCCCAGAGACCCATTTGATGTTAGAATTTTCCCTTTGGCTCTTCCTCTGCACTGTAATTTCTGTGTGTTTGTGTAAGAAAGGAGTGGCTTGGGGGGACAGTCTTCTTGCTTACCAGCTCTGTCACAGTTATTGGATGCTGAGGTGAGAGTTGAGGTGGTGATCAAAGGACCCCAGACACCAGACACTGTTCCCTCAGGGCAGATTGGTTCTTCTGGAGGAAAGCTAGCTTTTTTGTGCTTTGGAAATCTGGTTTTGGAGAATTGATCTGAGATGGAATTGTCTGGGTGCCATTATTTCCCAGTCACAGGCTTTTTTCTCTCCCTGATACTGACCAGATGGATTTTAGGGCTTGCTGCTCCATCCTATTCATGTTGACGTTTCTGTTAACTCTCCTCTGCACTCTGGGAAAGGAGATTTTAGTACACCTAAACTTTCTCCTCAATTGAAGTTTTATCTAGGCTGAAGCTTAAAAGAGTGAGACTGAGGCATGAGGTCAAAGGACTTCCCTCTAATACCTCTGTGCTCCTAAAGCACAAGAGAACTTAGCATCCTTCCTCCAGATACTCCTAGTCCCTTCCCTTCTTAGAGTTTCAGGAAGCAAAGAGAATACATGGGATAGGATCACCAAAGAACAGATTGTGTGCTTAATGTCTAAGGGCCAGCCTAATTAAGAATAAAGAGGTTTACTCCCAGGAGGTCACCAAGTGAGGGACTTTTTTTCAGCTACAGCAGCCTATTTGCTAAGGCACACAGTCCAGTTCAACAAATATTTCACTGCATTGGTAGAAAGGGACCAGATATCAAATCACACATCCTTGAAGTAGTGAACAAGTGTTCGCATCTTTCTTATTGCTATCCTGAACTCAATAGCTCAATGAGGGTAGGAACCGTGTCCAACTTAAATTTTACATCTCCTTTCAGCACCTAACAAAGTTCTCTGTACACAGTTGGCACTTAATGAGATTAGTTTAATAGAATTTGGCCCAGAATCTGAATCGTAGTTGGAAGGAACCTCATAGGTCACCTAGTTCAACCTTCCACTCAGAACAGGATTCTCCTCAAAAAGTATGCTCCGATTTAAGACCCTAACAATTGGGTATTTTCTGAGGCAGGTCACTTGATTGTTAAACAGCTGTAATTTTTAGTTCCATTTCAAGGAAATGGGCTAGGGCGATGGCTGTGAGAGTAGAGAGAAGTGAACAGATTGAAAGATGTTATAGGGCAGCTAAGTGGCGCAGTGGATATAGCACTGGCCCTGAAGTCAGGAGAACCTGAGTTCAAAGCCTGCCTCAGACCAAACACTTGACACTTACTAGCTGTGTGACCCTGGGCAAGTCACTTAACCCCAATTGCCTAAAAAAAAAAAAAGGAAAAACAGAAAGATGTTGTAGAGAGATTATTGATGAGGCTTTGCAGCTGATTAGATCTGGGGAGGAAGGGAGAGTGAGACTCACCAGGGTCTGACAAAGAGGGGGTTGATTGCTGGAACTGGGTCCCTCCAGAGGGAGAGGAGATAAAATCAGAGAAGCATTAGCATTAGCTCAGGGTAGAAAGGTTTTCTTCTGAAACAGATGAGAAGGAGGAAAAGGATGTTTTACTACTGTAAAGCATTGCTGCAAGGAATTGAGGGACTCTTGTCAGATGACCTTAATCGTCTTGGTGAAGTAGGAAGCTAAATCATCACTGGGAGTGCAAGTCAGCAAGCCATTAAGGATCTACTATCAGCCAGGTGCTATGGTGAGGAGAGAGGGAAATGTTTACACCTGTCATCTGAGCAATAACAGTAAGAGTAATAGAGTTCCAGAGCAACAGTGAGGGCCCTGCTAGGGTTATACATAGGCCCTCGTGAACAGCTCATTTCCATTTCTTTCTCCAGTGATATTGAGCAGCCTAGAAACACGAGAAAAGAAACCTAAGGGATGTCCAGGGCTAAGGATTAGGAGGTTGGGAATGATTGTGGGTGAAAAGAGGGAAGAAAAAAGGATCTAGAGAAGTGAATCATGAAAGTCATATCTGAGCATGGAGACGAGTGAAGGCAGAGTAGTGAAGGGATCATGGGACAAGAAGTCATGATGAGGATGAGGAGATGTTTAATGTTACTGAAGAAGAGGAGAGATGGGAGAATAGGAGTCTGTGACAGGACAGTGAAATGTCAAAGTTTAGGATGTTGGTGCTTATGCAGATCTGTGAAATGATATGGGCATAGGTTTAATCATGTCATTGTGTGGCTCAAGTTGGCTCGGTGTTAGAGCTGAGGAATTATGTGGTGGATATTAGATAGTTCAAAGTGAATAATGTGGTTTCTGCCTATCATTTATCCAACTTTTTTGAAATATGCTCTCCTAAAGTTGGATTGTGACCAGCATTCTTTTCTTTGGTGGTACCAAAGTCTGAGATGATTTCTTCCAAGGTTCCTGTTAACCTTTGCATCCCAAGTCAGTTCTTCCTTTTGGGTCAGAATTGGATGTAGGAAAAAAAAAAAGAACATTTCTCCTCTCCCTTCAGTGAAGAAAGTGGGGATTTAGCAGATCTTCTGTGTTTAGCAGAGATGGTCCCTCTGCTACCTCTGATATAACAAATCTGGGGGCAGAGTGCTTCACATCCTCCCTCTTTCTGAGGAGTATCTTGATTTCCTCAGCTCCAGGAAACAATTGGTCTTGGGGCCAGGACAACACTGTCTTCCATCCTGCCCTGCCATACCTGTGGGGAAGTCCTGCACTGGTTGGCACAGCAATTGCCCTGCCAAAAGTCACGCCTCACACCCCATCTAAAACTGGCCTGGCCATGGACCATGAAGAGGTTTTCCTGGAGAGGGAGCAAACTAAAGGAACCAGATTCTCCTTTTCCTCTGTCAGTCTGAGGTCTCTTTCCTAGACCTCCTTTGGCAGGAAGTTGCCCTTTTAGAGATCTGGTCCTAGTCTCACAACTAGCACAGGGTGGGGAAGGGTCTTCACTACTGGGCTCCCAGAAGACCTGGTGTCACTGGCCTTCTTGGCTAGTGGGAATGCATGGATTTCCCTTGAAAAGCTAAAACTTGGGAAGAAGGATTCCTCAACAGTGATGGTGGTTGAGGAGCCTAGTGTTACAGGTACACAAAGACCTCTGAGGGAGACTGTACGTCTCATGGCTGTTAGTATTGGCCTGTGCCTACTTCCTTTATAAAGAAAGATCAGTTTGGCTCCTGGAACAGACTGAAGGGACTCTTTCTTTGTTATATCTTGTTTGAGCTGCTCAAGTATAAATAAGATCCACACTAATTAAGGCAGGTGGTAACCTTCCCCTCCCCCCACCCACTCCCCTCTTATGACAACCTCTTTGACTTCCTTTTTCGATTGAGGGGTTTTACTATTAGCAGTTATAAGGAGGAGAGTTTGCAAAGACCACCAGGTATTGAGAAACCAGCTGGAATGTTTGGAGTTTTTTCACTTATTGTAACCCTAAGCCCAAATCTGCTTCTTTCCGCAGTCCAGAAAAACGACTCATTCTCCTTAGAATAGCAGGGCCGTTCCATAAACTCATGATAGAAAGGTCACCTGAGTTTCCTCATCTGTAAAATGGAAATACTAATACTGACCTACCTGCCTTTTATAGTTTACAGTGGGCAGGTGCTTTGTAAACTTTTGAGCTCCATAGGAAATGGGAGCTGGCAGTATGACCCTTTCCCCTTTCTACAGGCAGAATCCCAAGTAGTACCCTCCAAGAGAGAAAGGATGGGGGCAGCACCAAGATCTCACAGTTCCCAGAATCTAGTCTGTTCCCTAAAGTGAGGGGAAGATAAATCACTTCCCTTGAACTTTGGGAAATCCATTGTGGTCCATTGCAAGCACACAGTCCAGAGCCTCTCCAGCTGCTGAGCCAGAACAGAACTCTGAATTAGCTGCAAGGCAGAGCCAGGGAAGGAAAATACTCAGCCTCAGGATCAGGGAGCCAGACCTGAAATGGGGAACCCAAACACCCTGTCCTCCAGCCTCCCAATCTGAAGCATACAATAAAGAGGCATATACATGTTTGTAACACAGCATATATAGAAATGAAAATCAAGTACAATATTCATATTCAAAAAACTAATCATGTTTACAAATTTGCATTTGTTTGAAGGTATGAAGGTAAATTTCGTGCAGGCTCAGTCTTCCCACCAATGGTTCAGATCTGTGTCTGGTTTGGCCGCCCCTTGGAGAAGGCTCGCTTTGTGGCCAAATGCAAAGGTAAGACACCCTGATGTATTGCCTTCCAACAACGGGGAGAAGAAATTAACATTTCCTTTGGCAGCCTGAGAGGCTGGGTTTTTGAGGCCAGCCTAAGACCAACTGACCTTTCTGTGGTTGAGGTCAGTATTGCCTGAGATCTTAGACTTGTCATGCAAATTGGCCTGAACTCCCCTCAGAAGAGTTTCATTGCCCTATGGGAACTGGTGCAGAGAGGCAGGTCCCAAGACCATACAGCTGTTAGGGAGGAGCCTAGATAAGCAGCATCAGTCCTGGAAGAGAGGTAATGTGGGCAGCCAAGCCCTCTCTTTAATAAAGGTAGAATGATTATTGTTGGGCCAGTGGACCTACCTCCCTCCTTTTTTTTTTTTTTTTTTTTTGGCTGGGCAAGGGGGTTAAGCGACTTGCCCAGAGTCACACAGCTAGTAAGTGTTATATGTCTGAGGGTGGATTTGAACTCAGGTCCTCCTGACTCCAGGGCCCATGCTCTATCCACTGTACCACCTAGCTGCGCCCCTACCTCCCTCTTTGTCTGGGCTCTTAGGGACTTGATCTGCTCAGATCTCCTGGCCTACTCATGGGACAAGCTCCATTTTCCCCTTAGTTAATCTTGTCAATCAGTCAGTCAACAAGCATTTATTAAACATCTGCTGTGTGCTAGGCTTTGTGTAAAGTGCTAGGGATACAAAGTAATTCCCCCAAAAACACCAATCCCTGCCCGCAAAAAGCTCACAGTCTAATAAGGGAGACAACATGCAAACAACTATATACAAACAAGATAAATACAGGATAAATTGGGGATCGTGTCAAAGGGAAGGCACCAAGATTAAGGAAGACCAGGAAAAGCTTCTTGCAGAAGGTGGGGATTCATCCATGAAGGAAGCCAGGAGCTGGAAGTGAAGGAGAGAGTTGAGGCCTGGAGAGCAGTCCGCGTGCAGAGTCAGAAGGTAAGGAGACCAGTGTCACTGAGTCATAGAATGTGTGGAGGAGACTGGGAAGGTACAGAGAGACCAGACTACGAAGGACTTCATATCAGATTCTGGAGATGATGGAAGAAGGGGAGGGGTGGCCTAGTCAAACTTGTGCCTGAGAAAGAGCAGTTTGGCAGCTGAGCGGAGGACAGACTGCAGCAGGGAAAGACGAGGCAAGAAGACCCACCTGCAGGCTAGTGTAGGGCTCCCAGTCGTGAGGTGCTGAGGGCCCGCACTGAAGTGGTGAGAAGGTCAGAGGAGAGAAAGGGCCATATAGGAGAGGGAGAAAAGACAGGGACTGGACAGCTGACTTTATATGGTAGTGGGGCAGGGCGGTGAGAGAGAGAAAGAGATGGAGAAGATAAAACTGACGCCAAGGCTTCAACCTGGGGAACTAGGAGCATGGTAGTGCCCTCGACAGCTATGGGGAAGTTAGGAAAAGGAAGGTAGAATGGTAAAGAATTCAGGGTTGACTATATTGAGTCTAAGATGTCTATGGGGCATTCAGTTCAAGGTGTCCAGGAGGCAGCTGGAGCTTTGAGACCTGAGGTCAGCAGAGAGGTTGGGGCCAACAAATCCATCTGAGAATAATCTGTTTTGAAATAATTGATGCATGGAAGTTGATGAGATCACAAGCTGAAGTAGTATGGAGGGAGAAGAGAGGCCCAGGATGGAGCCCTGGAGGACACCCTGGTTAGTGAGTGTGACCTAGATGAAAACCAGATGCGATTTTTTTTTAAAACAAGGAGCTGAGAAAAATGACAACTTAGCATCGAGTCAAGGGAAATCCTAAGATCTCTTACCACAGCTTCCAGGGCTGACTCATCAAGTCAGCAAGCATTTATTAAATGCTTACGATGAGCCAGGTTCTGGGCTAAGTGCTAAAGAACACCAAGAAAGACAAAAAGAGTCCCTGCTGTCCAGGAGCTCACAATCTAATGGGGGAGATGATGTGCAAACAAGCGTGTACCAACAAGATTGAGATAATTTGGTATGTAGAAGTAACTAATCTCCCCTTTCCCTCTAAAAAATATCTGGACCTGGCCTTTGCACCTCTGCCCTGCTACTGATTAGAGTGACCCTTTGTTTTGTTTAGTCATTGTTCAGCCACAGATGACTCCTTGTGGGGTTTTCTTGGCAAAGATCCTGGAATGATTTGCTATTTCATTTTCCAGCTCATTTTACAGATGAGGAAATTGAGGCCAACAGGGTTAAGTGACGTGGCCAGGGTCACACAGCTAGTAAGTGTTTGAGGCCACATTTGAACTGAGAAAGGTGAGTCTTCTTGACTCCAGGCCCAACTCTATCCACTGTTCCATCTAACATGCTGCCAACCGTCAAACCCAACTCCTTGTCAGTTTCCAAACTGCTCCTCCACTTCTCATGCCATCAGATTCCAATCTGTCTGAATGCTGGCAGCTGGAGAGCTGCTAGCTTCACTCCCTACCCTCTGCACATGTGAATCTTTTTTTTTTTTTTGTTAACCAGGAAAGTACCAAAGCCTCCTACAAAATCTCTGACAATACGTCACACATTTCACAGACAGTAATCAGAACATGTCACTGATAGTAAGAGAATGAGTTTCGTCACACATAGGTGCCCACTCAGTCAGTGGCCCTTTCCAGCGGTGACTGTGCTGAGTTCTGGGGCCATCCACAAGGGAGCCAACAGGTAGGGCAATGACAGCCCTTTCTTCTTCTTCTTCTTCCCAACAGCAATCAAGTCCTTGATCAAGCAGAGCCCCTTCTCCGGAAACATCTACCACATCCTGGGCAAAGTGAAGTTTTCAGGTAAAGGGAGGCTGAAGCTTGGGAACCCTCTGCTGTGAGTCTCTTAGGGACCTCTCACTGGCTGCCTTCTCCTTAACTCCACAGCTAATCACATTCTTTCAAAGCTAGAACTCAGACAGCAAGGGTGTTGGGTGCATTTACTTGCCTGTATTTTCTCTCCCCAGCAATTATTACTCCGCCCATTTCAATTGTGAGATGAATGAATGAGGTCGCCCATTCTTTTCATCACTGCAGATCCGACTGAGCATGTTGGCAGGACTTGACTTGTTTCTGCCAACCTTTTGGAATCTACTTGATTTTTGCCCCAGATTTCCTTATTTGAAGAATAGTAGTATAAAGGGTGAGAGGAGTACGCAAGGAAAAAGGACTGTCTTAAGAGCGTGGCCCATTCTCTTGGTTGCTGGAGACAAAAAGATGCTCCAGCTGAGTAGAAGCAGCTCAGCTAACTTGTCTGTAGAACCCAGGGAGGAGGAGAAGGCCCCAGAGCCACCTACACAGCAGGCTATAGGCTGAATCATAACAAAGACTCCTATTCCCATGGGGAAACCTTTCTTTGTTGCAGTCTGCAACTGCAGACTCACAGGGCCCTAGGGGAGAGAAGAAGGTACCTGGCATTTAAAATACTTAGGTGTAGCAGTAGGCTGATGATAGCCATGGAGAAGATCTAATTGCCTGATCTGGTGTGGGAATGTAACCACCCTTTCAAAGGAACCTTCCTCTAGCCTGGGAGAGATTGTATCATTGGTCCTTATCTGAGGGCCAGTCCCTCGGAGCACTAATTTTCTTCTCTCCTTGCAGACTCAGAAAAGATGATGGAAGTTTGTCACAACACACTAACTAATTCCTTAAGCATTGTGCCGGTTCTGCCGGGTCCTAGCCCACCTCCAGATTCCCGGGGAGCCCCCCGAGATGGCAGCGCTCAGCAGGAGAGTTACCTCGTATTCATCGGTTGCTCTCTGAAAGAGGAGAGCGTCAAGGACTGGCTACGGCAGACTGCAAAGCAGGTGTGCCTCTCGTGAGGTGGGGACATTCCTGCTGGACACTGGTCCCAGATGTGGGCACAGTTCCAGGCAGCCCCTAGCCAGCAGTCTTCCCGGACAGTCTGGTCACCCTCAGGGTAACTTTCCACTGGCCCCACCCAGGGCATCAGTGGATCACCAATTCTTGGCAGAGCAAGCTTGTGAGATTCAAGTGCTCCCTGATTTTCCCCTCTCATGTTCCTTCTCTCTAAGACAGTATAGGCAATCAGCTACTTAAACGATGTTGGTGTTTTATAAGAGGGGGGTGGATTAGAAGAGGAGAAAATATCCAGGTGCCTTTCCTGTGGTGCTGGCGAAAGCAGAGGCAGAAGCTCTGTTTGACACAGGCTGGGTGAGGTACAGACTACTTCAGGTCCTTGGCTAGTCCCCTCCAATGCTCTGAGGCAGCCCTTTCAATTTACTGTCTGAGAGGGAGTGCTTTTCAGGGTGAGCCCCAGATCTCGAATGCAAACAGTTCTCAGACCACCCCCCCTGCCCCAGGCCACGGATTGACCTCCCCTGGATTCTTCTAGTGGCATTAGGATGAACGAAGGATGGGCCCCAGCAACAAGTGCTGTCACAGTAGAAAAGCCTGGCTGTACAAGTCAAGACATCAGCTTTCCTACCTTATGCTTGAGTGAGGATGCTATCTCTCCCTCTGCAAGGGGGTACAGTCTCAGGCAGTAGGCAGAAGATCCTTTCACCATGCCCAGCCAGAGCCTTCCACCACCACCACCACTGTCCGGTCTGGTAGCACTCATGTGGCTGCCTCTGCCCCTTTGCTGACTCTACCACTGCTCTCTGTTGCCTACTCCATCTGACCTCTGCTCCCTCCCCTATCCCTCAATTTCTACACAGAAACCCCAGAGGAAAGCCCTGAAAACCAGGGGGATGCTGACATTACAAGAGATCAAGAACATTCATGTAAGTCCCCTGCCCAGAGGCTAGGCTGGGCCTAATGTACAGAAACTGGATGAGGGTCCTAGAAACTCTTAAAGATCTATGGGCACTTCAGGGCATGGCCTACCAATGGATGGAGCCATTACTGGATAAGGTTTCAGCCTTAGTACTGGGAGCTAATTTCGCTCTGATCCTAGGTGAGGTAGTGAGAACAGCGACTGGGTTGGGGGGGGGGGTTGTATATAAAGCAAGCCCACTTGTGCCCCAAGGGAGAGAAGCCCAAGGGGCAGGCAGCCCCCTGCTGCTCCTGCTGCAGCTCCAAGGGTCAGAAATCTATTCCCTGCACCAAGGTGAAGTGGAGGAGGGGATGGGGAACTGGCTCCACTGGGTTACTCCCTGTATTCAGTCTGTATTCAGATGGTGAAGGGAGACCTGTGGCAGTTCTCTCTTCCCCTGTGTGTGAGAAGTTGGGGTGAGGGGAGAGAAAAGGAGATGAGAGAGGTGGGCTCTTGGCCTGGGAGCAAAGGAAAGGCTGGCAGAAACTGAAGTTAGCTAAGGGAGACTCTGAGCGGGTGCAGGGCATTTTTAATGATCTCTGTTGTTTCTTGCAGGTGAAACGCCACCTGGACCCCCTGCCTGCAGGTTATTTTTATAATGGAACCCAATTTGTCAACTTCTTTGGTGACAAGACTGATTATCACCCATGTATCCTTGCATGGCAGGGCTATGGAGAAAGCCAGGTGTAGGCTTAGATAGACTTTCCTGTGGGAGGTTTGAGTCACAGCCATTGTGCAGCCCTGTCTCTACCTTTCTAGAGGCATTCCAGAAGCAGTGGATATGCAAAAAGCAGAGCTCAGGTCTTAAGTTCTGTGGTGGAAACTGTGGAGGCAAACCCTGCATCTTAACCTTTGAAAAGCACTGCAATAATTAGGCTAGGAAGGAAATTGTCTCCCCCTTTCCCTACTCATTCTTCTTCGAGCACAGAGCAGAAGGTTTTAATATGTGTGCACCCAGGGGAGGGGGCAGTTTGGTGTCAGGCCAGCCACCTGGCCCACTGACATCAGTCACTCCACAGAGGGAGGACAGGAGGTCTCAGAGGAGGGGCACAGGGACAGCCTCTGCCTACAGCATGAGGCTGAGGCTGAGGCTGGGAAAGGAGGCAAGGAGGAAGCTGCTGCTCCCTCATCTCAACATGTGGAGCCAGTTAGTGGCATGTTCCCTCATGAGGCAGGGAGAGGAGGAGCAGGGGAGAGGAGGTGTGGAGAGGCTCGCCAATACCCTGATTCATGATGCAGGCCCAAATCAAGTTGTGTTGTGTTGCAGCCAGTTACTCTGGACTGCAGGGTTGACTCTTTTTGTCTGTGGATGTTTGTCCAAGGAAAGGTCAGTCCTTTCCTCTGCTGCTGGGCTTCTTAGCTACAGTCTGCTTCTCCTGCCTCTTTCTCATTCTGGAGTTAGGGATGGATGAGAAGGAGGGGGGTCATCCCAGCCTCCTTAGAGTCACTGGACATTTCTTCTCCCTCACTCCAGCACAAGACCTGTCCCATTCCACATGTGAAAGACCAGCTCTGTTCTCAAAGGGCTGATCATCTCCTTTCTTCCTGTCAGCAGTGGAGTAAGGAGTAATGAAGAGCAGAGCTCATCCCTTCAGGCCACCGATTATTCAGAGTCAGGGGCAGTTTTTAGCTGGTAGATTCCAACAGACTGCATTGTATTCCTTAATTTGAAATTAGTAATGGACCAATTTATGAATGATTATGTGGAGGAAGCAAACCGGGAGATTGAGAGGTACAACCGAGAGTTGGAGCAACAGGAGTACCCCGACCTATTTGAGCAGAAGCCCCCGAGCTAGCCCACAAAGGTTCTCTGTGCCCAGGCAAGAGCCCCGGGCACAAGTGCCAGCCTCACGGCTGCCACCTCCACACATTGTCCCTATTCTCACATGGTCAGAGACACTCAGGGGTTGTCTACCCCTCGGCGTTCTGGGACATGTCTGAGGACGTGTTTCCTGGCAGGAAGCTGCTTCTTTACTCTGGTCTGCCTGTTTGTGCTGTCTCATTTGCATGTGGTCCTGATTCAAGATACAGTGCTTTCTCAAAATCGTCGCCTGGACCCTCATTTGCTTTTGCAAGGACAGAGGAGAATGAGGGACTGTAGACACCCCATGAAGCAGTCTTGGGATTGTTGTCCCCCAAGTGCTGTCTGCAGTCTAGTCGTCCTGTCTTGGCCTAAAAAAAAAAGCCTGTGAAGGAGGCTTGTGCCGTTTCTTGTCTTGTGGGAGGGCGGAAGTGCTCTTCAAGGGTAAGGAACTATCAGGATTGCATGAAGGGTTCTCCTGAGCTGCCTACACACCTTTCACTTCTCTGGCATTAGCCAAGTCTTGAGTTAGAGTCTGGAGGAAGCATGAACTTCAGGCCTCTCTCCCTCATCTTGTGGAGTCTTTATGAAACTGGTGGTAAGAGTGAAAAGGAGAGAAGGTAGGACTTTCTTGCCTCCTGTGTAGGGACCAACTAAAGGTCCAGTGTCCCCCATCCCCACTCCCTAGCCATGGTCAATGCCAAGGCCCCTTAGATCCCTGCAAGAGATAGTACATGAGGTGAGAATAGTCTTCACAGAGATTGAAGGCCCTATCTGGGAGATTTCTGGCCAGCCACTTGTGATATGAGGAAAAATGGCTGGTTTCCTTTTTCCCTTCCAGACTGGAAGAAGCCTAATAGGGTAGATCATGTCTCCCAGAGCTGGGTTTCCTTTGTTCTGTAGACCACTCCAGCACTGTTCCTTCTCCTCAGTTTGGGGAGGACATCAGTGTCCTTGGCTCGTCAGTACTATTTTGGTTTGGAGCTGAGTTGTTGCTTAATTTTAGGCTTCTAAACAAGGAGATTGGGTGGGGGGGTCTTGTCACCCTCCCAGGTGCCTGCTGGACCTCCCCCCCACATGGATTTTAATTCTGCCTTTTTACTCTCCTTCCACGGAGCTTTAGATCCGCTCTGATAGGGCAGAGGAGGGTCAGGCTTTTGGCTGTGGTGTGACTTCCTCCCAGTCCTGGACACACACATATGATGCAATAAGACTTAGTTGTGGAAAATTTACTCTAAGTCCCTAAGCCCTCTCGCTGCCCCTGGCTTTGGCTCCTAAGGGAGAGGAAATGTCACTGTCTTCCAGCAAACGTATTCAAAATACTTTTTGTCTCTTTTGCCCAAGCAAACAAGCAAAGTGTTTGGTGTCCTACAATTCCTTCCAATAGCTTTGGTTTCAGTAGGACATTAAAGCAAGTGTGACTGAATATTATTCAGAGCGGACTTGGCTAGTTGGGATTGTGTGTCCACCAGGGCAGCCCCTTGGGGAAGTCTGGATGGGAGTGATCGAGGGCTCAGAATTGTAGGCATCGCTTTTGTTATGGCCTTTGGTGTTGTCATGTTGAGCCTCTCAAGTTTAGAATTTAGTCTTGTGCATGCCTTAGGACTTGGTAAAACATGTGATTTCTTTACAAAGCACATAGGTGACACCATTAGTGAGCTTTAACTATCCGGGGAGATTTTTAAGGGGGAGCAAAGTCTTGCCCCAAGTAGAAAGTTCATGATGGATCCCATGAATTCTCCATGCATGACTCCATGTGGGTCTTCACTGTACTTAGTGCCTGCTAAAGTTAGTGTAGCAAAACTGTTTTCAGGGGCTTGCCCAGGTTTGGAAGCCAGTCAAAAGTGTTGTGTTGGAGAAGATAATGATCGGTGTTTTAAACTGGGATTACAAGAACCCAGATTCTATTCAGCAAGAAACCTCACATTGAAAAAGGCATCTGAAAAAAGAAATGCACGAGTGAGCGTTTCATCTCCAAGACACCATTTGGCTGGCCCCTTCCCATGCCTGCCATGAGAAGAAGGGACTGAGGTGATGCCAAAGCCATATGGATCCTTCGTTGCCTGGGCAACCACATGCCTGGTGCAGAAAAGCAGTGACAATGGGCCCTGGACTAGCTCATTGTCTCTGCTTGGGAATCAGTAACTGTGTAGACTTTGAAGTGCAATTGATTAAATAATAGATGAAGATACTGTAGCTTCCTTTTGTTCCGCTGAACTCTTTTTAAAAACTCAAAATTGTGCAGCATTGGGGGTGGGGGGGGGGACACCAGTGGTCCAATTCATTCAACTATTGCTATGAAGTTTTATGTGAAACTCTCTTGGAGGTTGGGGGAATCTGAGAATCCTGCTGCACAAAGAATCCATTTTTAAAGAGAGCGTCAGCTTCCTGGCCTTGCCATGCATAGCATAGACCCTCACGCTGCTGTATTGCTCACTGCGCAGTGTTCTTGGTGACTGACTGTATGATACCCATGGAAAAAGTCTTTTCACCAACCTGTGGTACTGTTCCAATTTCCTCTCTGTTGGGATCAGAGACTATGTGATTACCTCAGCTCTGAATATAAAACTGTGATTTTGAAAATGTTCATTTTTAATGTTATGAAGCCCAAATGGCAAAGCTGTGATGAGGGGTGACCGTTTGGAGCTGAGCGGCCAAAGGGCAAAGCTCTCCACCCCCGGACTGTTCACTCTCTTTCCCCTCATATTTGAACCTATATGACCGATACAATGTTGGTGAAAGGACTTTAAAGTGTAACACACGCCATGTTAACCTAGTTGAAGAGTCTTAGCACATCTGGCTAAACTGTATAAACTCTTTGAGGACTAACGCCTGTGAATAGTGATCCTGAAGCTTGGCACCTATGCCAGGCCTAATTGGATCTGGGCTGGCCTCTGCTAGATGAACTCTTTATGAGGTTCCTAAAAGTCAGCCACCTTTTTTGGCTTGGATTAGTTTTTCTGCCATGGTCTGCTCAGGGACATATGGTAGCATGAGTTATCCCAGGTGAGAGGACCTACAGCTACTGTACAGCCTGGGAAAGTGCCATCCCTCAGAACAGCCAGTGGCCCAAAAAGAAGTGCCATTACACTGTGTCTTATCTTTTTACTGTAGGGAAAAGAAATGGAGGGACAGGAAGTGAATCCATGCATTTGGAGCTCTGAGTCCCAGAGTACAGGCACGAGTCCTCAAGGGGTTTACCTGCTTTTTGCTGACCTTGTTAGCAGCTTAGGTTTTGTATCACCTGGAGTGAATGGGATTTAGAATTTCTGAAGTTATAGTTGGTTTGGGTTTGGGGTGGGGGATGCAGTCACCTTATCAAAGGGCTTTTTGTAGTGCCCTGAGCCAGGATCTGGGCTGCAGCTGTGAAGTCCCATAGGCAGGACCCTGACCCCAGGGGATGGCCAAGGAAAATTTCTCTCCAAATTCTTTTGGGATTTTGGAGAATTTGCACAGTGGTAACTCTGGGGTGCCCTTTGGGCTTTTATAATGGGCAAAGTTGTAACGAGGATAGAAGCTTGTAAACTGTGAGTGTCCGGCTGCCTCGTGGGGTTAATTGTCGACAGATTTGTAAAGATGTGTCTACCAACCTGGGTTGGACATATACTCCTTCATAATTGTCCAAAATTGTCAAATATGACCCTCGAGCTCATGGACAGTGTGCCAAAAGCCACTTTTATACTAGCTTTTGATGCTTTAATATTTGCAACTTAAGTTAAAAATTTGTTTTTACAAACACTACTGTAACTTCAGTGAGACTGAATGGTGTGGTTGAAGCTTTCTGGCTTAATATTGTATTTATTACATTCAATTCAGTGGGTCTATAAAATTAGCTTCCACTTATTTTTATATTATTTGACATATTTGTACCTGCGGTTTGTGTCTGTGACTTTTACATTTGTAATTCAGACTTGACACTAAGAACCAATAAACTGTCACTGCTAAGTAAAATGCCTTTTTGACTGTTACTGTGGGTTTGAGCAGGACCAAGAGCCCTGGAATGTGGAGAAGACAGCAAAAAGCTGGGAGAAAGGCTGGGCAGAGTCAGCCCCCAGCAGCTACAGCATCCCTCTGCCGCTCACTCTGTGTCCCCAGGCTTGTCTGTGCAGCTGTAGCTGTTCCACCAAGTGGGCCAACAGAGGCCTCACCTTTTCCCTTGTTCAGGCCCCAGGTATTTGAAGAGACTCCTCAAAGAGCCGTGGTGTGATCAGAGAGACACCACTGTCCTGCTTCTGGACACACAGGAAGGTGGTCGTACGTGTGTGCGCGAACACACATCCTAAAGAGACAGACAAAGGGGGAGGCTTAGTTAGGAGACTGAGGCAAAGATGAGGCTGAGGGCTCAGCTTGTAAGGTGAGGTGAGGGAGAAGTGGTATCCTAGGACCATGATAGGAAACCGTGGTCCCTAGGATCCCCAGAGTCTAAATCTCCTCATGTTCAGACCACAAAATTATCCTTGGAGAGACAATCAGAGCTACACACAACCTTAAAGATTATCCCGCCCCTTCATGTTACAGATGAGGAAGCAGACCCAGAGAGGTAAGGGACTTTCCCAAGGTCACACTGGTATTAAATAGATGAACTGCGACTTTTAACCTGGGTCCTCTGCTTGCTTCCTTTAGGAGGCAAGGATGAGTCCCTCAAAGGAGCTCAGATTCTAGTAGGCAAATAAAGATAACTAAAAAACATAATATTGCATGAGAAATCCATTATGTGAAAAAGTGTCTTGTACATACAGGTTGAGGGAAGGTTATTACCAAATACTAGAGGAAATCAGGAAAGACTAAATGGAGAAAAAGCATATGAGTTGGGCCTTCAAGGAAGAAGGGTTAGGAATTCAGTAGGCAAAGAATAAAAAGTATGTGGGGCTGGGTGGGGGGGGCATTCCAGGCATAGAGATCATCAGTGTGAACAAAAGCAGAGACAGGAAACTGAACAGGGATTGCTTTTGGTGGTGGTGAAGATGGAAAGCAGCTGATAACAGTCCAATTTGGGTGGGTGGAAGAGCATGGAACAAGAGTGGATTAGTAAAACACCTCAAGATATAAGGCAGGGGCAGCTAGGTGGCTCAGTGGATAGAGTACCAGCCCTGGATTCAGGAGGACCTGAGTTC